AAGTGAGGGGTGGCAAGCGAAAAGGGGTGAATCCGAGATGGAGCAGTGTAAATCCTTAGTGGGACAGCAGACCTTGAGGATAGAGAAAACAAATTCCTGGGCTGAACATGTGCTCAGATGAGGCTTCTATAATTCTGCAATTGTATAGTTATTTTCCTGAATCACTGTTTTGGACCTGGCTCTGGTTGGTGGACCTCAGAGATGGGTTTCTACTAGAAATTAACAAAAATGCTAGACACCCAAATCTAAAAGCCTTCTCATCATTGTGTTAAGGCATTTTATGCCCTGTTGATAACATATTAAATGACCATTGAGAATTTTGTTTTTCACTGCATCTTTGGCTCAGAGCCAATAAACTACTTCTCTGTATTCAGGGAATAACATATTCCAGAATACATACACATGAGGGAATTCAGCTCAAGTATGGAACTGTTCAGAATGCAACCCAGATCCCAACTCTCTGCTGCCAGAGGGCAAGTTGGATCAAACTAGCACCGAAAATACTGAAAGGAGCTATGTGTGGGTAACATGCTCATTACGTCTGGACAGCAGAATGTCAATATAATGTAGGTGGTGTCTGCACAGGCCAGAATACTCCAGGAGCAACCCAGAGTATCCTAGCCCTGACACTGCTCTGATGTTCCTGTTACCTGATGCACTCTTGAGCAATGCCAGTTGGATGTTCACATGGGCATCCCACTGCCACAGCTCACCCCCCTCTGAAGTCAGAACGAGGTGTTCACCACTGATCACGTGGCTGAGCACCTTGTTTTGGCTGTGGGTGGCACAGAAGGATGCATGGTACAAAGCCACCTGGCATTGCTCTGGAGGGCTTTGATCTTTTTGCAAGATTTGGAGCAACAGGTGAGTTTATTTAATCCATGTTAAGGGTAGTATTGAGAGACAGTGCAATTTAGTTGTTGGATTATGGATCTGGAGACCATGGTTCAAATCCTTGCTGAGACATGAAACCACTGGGTGTGCATGTCACACACACTCTGCCTCAGAGAATAGTAGAGGCAACCCCCTTCTGAAGATACTTAATTTGCTTTACCTCTAAAGACACTTGCCAAGACAACTCCATGATAGGTTTGCCTTAGGCTCTCCATAAGCCAGAAATGACTTGAAGGCATACAACAACAACAACAACAACAACAACAACAACAACAACAACATACTGTGGTTTTGGTGCTGAACTGGCTGTATGTCGTCTGGAACTGGCTGTATGTCATATCCTGGATCACCGGGTCCTGCATCGTCTGAACTCATCACCATGAAGAGGGGTAGGACATGTTATTTGGCCCATGTGGACATGGTCTTAGTCACCAGGAACAATGTAAGGTAGCCAGATATTTTCAATAAATAATTTATTTGAAACAAAAATAACAAAATCACAATTAAAAGAGGGCATGCCATTCTGGCAATGTACAGCCAAATAGCTCTTGAATTTTCACACATCTCATATTTCTTCTCTCCATCTCTTTTCCTCCTGGTGGCTCCTCTATCCTCTAAATATAGCAAACAACATCTACAGATGGGTTGTTCTGTAGCTAAAGGCATTAACTTTGTAGTATTTATTTGAACTCTCAAAACCAGCTTATCAAAGACTAAAACAGAGTTGGTAAAATTCACAGTGTTTTGACTCTTAAGCAGATTGCATTTGAACTTGGGTTTTTTTTCTTCCTGCTGAAATATCATGTTAGGCAGATGAGCTTTGCAAAAAATAAATAAATATTTTCTGATAAAGAAAGCAAATGAAGAAGAAGTACCTTCCCCCCACTTTCTGCTATTAAAAAAAAGGCCTCTCCTGGGCCTAAAATGGCCTGAGAGTTAAAAGCATGGTTTAGAAATTACCCCTACACCTGCTGGTGTTGATTCTTTTCAGGAATGCCATGGAGATGCAGCCCTGCAAGGCTTTCTGGCATCTAGTGCAGCCCCCTAACCTCTCATGGTTGCTCACTTCTGATATAAGATCAATGACTTTATAGCTTTGTTTGAGTATTTCTGTCAGGGCTGGGAGCAAATTCTTCATGGGTTCCAATTATGAGGTCATCTCCATTGTAAAAAATGTATCCAGCCAAAGCAATACACATATGCGTACAAATCTAGAGAAAGTAAGGCAGGGAGGGAAGTAGATCACAAATGAGACTTCACTGGAGGCAGTTTCACAGTCTTGGAATAACAATATCTTGAACTGAACTAAAGGGACAACTGTTCATACCTTAGAATGAGAACTGCAACAGTGTCTGTGACAGAACTGGGGGAGTAATAGTTTTGTACTACAGCTTCCAGAATCCCCCTAGACAGTACTACGCTCTCTGGAAGATTCAAGGAGCTGTAGTTTTCAACCAAAACTAAAACAAGCGATTCCAAGCTCTGCTTACCCTGAAGGGCTGCTCTCAGGGCATTTCCCCAAGCCGATAGAGCCAGAGATTGTCCCCACCAGATTGCAATGATTCTTTTTTCCTAGCTAAAGGGTTCTCTGCTACCTGGCTCAGAGTACAATGACAAAGACACATGTCCCTGTCTTGAGAGACACAGTCTACTCTTCCTGTTCTCCCTGTCAACAAATCTCAACATTTTCAAGGAGTATGGCATAACTGTTCTGAAAGCAAAACAATTATCAGACATGATGTCTACTTAAAAAAAATATTTTTTGACAAAACTGACAAAGACATCCAAAATCTGGGCCAGACTTTCCCTTAGGATGTTTTGGGAGAGCCAGGAGCCCTCTCTATCAGCTGCACTCCTGCCTGGGACCATGGATGTCTTCTCTCCTTTCATCTGCAGAAAGATTAAAGGCTGGCAAACGGAGGCGTCCACTGAGATTAGCCCTGTCAGGTGAAGTTATACTCTTATCTCTTCAGTGCTGCTAGCAATTACTTCCAGAACATTTCAGCTCATTTTAGTTCGGCTGATGAAGGCTTTAGGTATGAGTGGAAACATCCTGGAAGTAATTCTTAATATTACTGTAGATGGTAATATAAATCTACTTGACATATTTATCCAGCCATCCTGCTGTTAAAAAGACTATATACAATTTTACTATATACACTTTATATTCATCGGTGAAATGGTGCCTATCTTTTCCCTTTCCTTACTGCAAGTGGGACAGCCTTTCTGTCTGTCCCATGAGTGCAGATAGTTTGTGTTATGGTGTCTAAAGAGTGCTCTGGACCAATTCTATATTGTGCATTTCTGAAGGCCAAATATTTATTGATAGGATAGCCATATTTATTGTAGATATATGTAATCCATTCATATATAACAGAAGTGGAGAAACTGTGAACTCCAACCTCTATAGCCCCAACTAGCATGGTCAACAGATGATGGTACTGGGATTTGTAACCCAACAACTGTAGCCCACAGGTATCTCCCCAACCGATATATTAAGAAAGGCAAATCCCACTAGTACAGTAACAAGCATACCCTTAACTTACTAGATCATGGAAAATTCTTCATTTGGTAACTGACGCTTGGTAACGGACATTCATTTGGTAACTGGTATTAGACCTCAAAGTTTAGCTAGTGTGCAATTGCAAGAAGGTCAGTTGTATACCTGTAGCAGCTTATGTTTTGGGCATCCCTTTTAAAAAGCTTCCTACTGTGTAGAAAGGAATGGAGCCACAGAAGGGTAATTTGGAATGAAAGGCTCACTTGAGCTCCATATCAATGAGCAAGTCTTTGACAATGAGCAATTCCCAGTGCTGTAACATGGGGTTTTCCAAGCAAAAGTTGTTCAGAGGTTTGCCATTGCCTTTCCCTCAGGCTGAGAGAGTGTGACTCACCCAAGGTCACCCAGTGGATTCCATGGCTGAGTTGGGAATCGAACCCTGGTCTCTGGAGTCATAGTCCAGCACTCAAATCACTACGCCATGCTGTGATGCTAAGGAAATTCTAATCATGAGGTTTTTCTTGGTAAGATTTGTTCACTGAGGGTTTTCCATTGCCTTTCCCTGAGGCTGAGACTGTGTGACTTACCCAAGGTATAGGGTATAAGTGGTATAGAAATGTACTTAGTGTTTCTGTTGCTATGGGCATGGGCATGGCGATGATGATTTGGGAATTTATACTCCCAAACCCAACTTTTCAAAGCTCTGGGCCACACTAGGCAGAATACAAACAAATCCAAAATCTAATTAAACGGATGCAGGATGGAATCAGCTTGGGGAGTAGCAACCACTAGTGATGAATGGGCATGGCAAGATCAATATTGTAAATAAATACCTAAAGAGAGACAATTACTTTCTGTTGTGGGCTAGTTATTTCTTGGATTTGCTGAGTTCAAATTCCACAGTGACTAATTTGCTAATGAATTCTATTTCAGTGGCTTCACACAGGAGTCTCTCTTTGAAACATTTTTCTTTGTGACATTAAGGTCTGCTGAGGAATATCCTCGGGGTCTGAAATGCTTCTCCACTGGTTGCTGCATGTTACTATTTTTAAATGAATGTCTTACTTCTATCCAGTAGGAATCAATACGTTTAAGTTTGAAGAGGAGCACAAACATTGACATAGAAGCCCCACTCAAGCTGGGAGGTGGCAAATGATTGTTCAGTGGAGATGGGAAAGCAGAGTTTGGAGAAGTTAGGTTTTTGAATGACAGTTCCCAGAATCTTTGGCCATGCTGGCTTGGAAATTCTCATAGCTGTAGTCCCCAAAAGGGCCATTTCTCTAAACTCTTGGGAAACACTCTGCACATGACTCATGGGTTATTCAGATGGTGAAAATAATCCAGGTAGGATCTGGGTTGAATCCTTGTTGGTCACATGAATTTTGAATGCATCTGATTAAGTTGGGGGGATGCCAAAACCCCCACTTAACCTGGGATAATCAATCTTGGGTATTTTTCCAAGTTTTTCTAAAGGATTCATATTGTTGGCTGTGTGAATAATTGATGCAAATAGACCCGGGATAAACCAGGGGGAAACCTCTGCATGCCTTGAATGTGCTTCGAATACATTCGTGTCATCGACTCCATCTTTATTTGAGTGCTGACATGTGTGAATGACTGAACTTGCAAAGATGGGCAGAGATATTCCATGGTGTGAACAACAAAACCGGAATGCATGAGTGAGATTATTCACATCACAGCTCTAAAAAACCTGATATCTGAATAATCTCTCAAACATATAGTCATCTACATCACACATGATGCAATGCCTCTCATGAGCTTTGACACAGATCAGATTTCACAGGAAGGAATTCACATCTCAGGAGTGAAAGGGAGCAATGAGGTTGTAAGACCAGGGATTCAGAAGCTGTGACACTTCAGATATTGTTGGACTCCCAACTTCCATTAACAGTCAATGAGGCCAACTGCCATGCTGACCAAGGAGGATGGTGAGATTTGTAATGGAAAGCATTTGCAGGATACTAGGTATGGGAAGGCTAGGGGATGCTAGGGGTACCACACCATGGACTAAAAGAGTGAGTTCATGAATGTAGAGCAAGTGCTTGTTCATTGAGCCACAGTCCCTCTCCAACCACTGACTCCAGGGCTGTGCTATCAGTTTTGGTAACATGACTAAGGACTTTATCACATGGGGGAAATCCTGTGCAGAAACAAGGTTTTAAATAGAAAAAAACCTGCAAAAGTGGGTAGATTTTCAGACGATGTTGCTATTAGAGTGTGGTTAACTCGAACAAAAAGTAGTCAAAAGCCACTTCTTTTTACTTTTGGAAAATCCCGAAAGTAAAAAGGAGTGGCTTTTGACTACTTTCAGTTTGGGTTAAGCACACTTTAACAGCAACATCTGAAAATCTACCCACTTTTGTAGGTTTTCCCCACCTTTCAAATCCCATTTCTGCATGGGATTTCCCCCGTGTAATAAGGTCCTAAGAAAGAAGTCTCATGGGGCTGGGAGACTGTGACCTTACAATGAGCAAAATTCTCAAGGAATTCTACTCAACAGTGTCTATTTGCATTTGAAAACCCAAAAGCAATAACCTCCAAATCCTGGAGATTAAACTGCCCAGGCTTCCCTTTTCTTATGCAAATCTGGACCATAAAACAGATGTACATTGCAGCCATAAATGAAAGGCAAGCTAGCAGTAGGATGTGAAATTAAGCAGTAGGAATGTACAAATAAATAAAGGCTCAAGAGCCAGATGCTTTTTCTTTTGGAAAGTGTCCAGACAATGACTCCCATTTTAGTGTCTTCAGGGGAATTTTTAAGGTATGTTCAGCTGTTATTCTCCAGTTGCACCACTCCTGAGACTGAATGCCAGTTTTGCCGCCACCACAATGTAGCTCACAATATGCCCTGTATACAAGTCCCAGATCAGCAGCATAATATACCATTCCCAATGCAAGCAGTGGGTTTTGGTTAAAAGAAACAAATATTCCAGTAAGGCTTTTGTTTTGTTTTGGATCTACTATAGTTGAAACTAACATCCAATTGTCTATCTCATTTACAGTATAGCCAATGAATCAATGGGAAATTGATAAATCAAGACTTGAGTAAATTTCATTGATTTAATGGGCCTACTGTAGTTGGGATTAACAGGTTATATTTAGACCAATTAATTCCAGTGATGATGTCTGGTCATCCCATATCCAAAAGGGGAGGGAGCCAGGAAAAAAAAAAGAGCTGGAATAGGTATAGCTAAAAAAAAGGTTAAGGGGTTGAAGAATATTTTCTGTGAGGCAAAGCTGAAGATGATGATGATGATGATGATGATGGTGATGGCTAGAGTGGGGGCAGAGTTTTATAATGTTACCTTTTAAGCTACAACTTCCAGACTCCTGTCACTTCCCGAGCAATTCTGGAAACTGGATGATTGGCCTGCTAGACACTATGTTACAGTCTGCCCTCCATATCCACAGATTCCTTACCCACAGATTCAACCATCCATGGCATGAAAATATTTTAAAAATATATAAATTCCTAAAACTAGGAATTCCTAAATTCCTAAAACTAGATTTTGCCACTTTATATAAGGGACACAATTTTACTATGCCATTGTATTTAATGGGACTTGAGCATCCATGGAGTTTGATATCCACAGGGTCTAGGAACCAAATCCCAGCAGATATCTTGGGGCCACTGTATAATTGGTGTAGAGAGACAGGTATTGTATAATACTGTAACATTCTTCTCCATCTCTGAAATACTCAGAATACTTTTAAATCCAACCTAACTGGCTGGCAGTGGGTTAGAACACATCCCTGTTTCTCCGCATGCACACACAAAAGCTCTTTTTCAGAATAAATTTGGTAAGAAATTCCATTGAACTTGACAGTCTGAAGAAAAGTAGCATTTTCACACCTCCTGTGACTTGGTGTGAAGAAAAAGTGCACCTTGCCTTGAGCATTCACACATCTCTGAGGACTGTTCCTAAGAAATGAACACACAGAAAACAATGTGAATATTTTAAAATGTGAGTTGCCACTATGTCCATAATTGAGGGGGAAAGACACCCAAATATATTTTGGACAGTGGAATAAGACTGGTGTCCCTCCATGTCATCCCCATCCCATGTAAGACTACAGCTCCCATCATGCTGACTGTAAACTTACAGAGGTTGTAGTCCAAAGCATCTCCAGGGTGTGAAAGGAGGATTAGACAAAATCATGAAAGTTTATGACTGGTGGCCATGAGCCAATATATTTAAATGAAAGCAAAATACCTCTGAAGACGAGCTATTTCTTAAAACAAACAAACAAACAAACAAAAAAAAAACCTACCCATCCATTGTGGACCTCCCAGAGTCATCTGGCTGACCTCTATTGAAAACAGAATGCTAGACTAGGCACCTCATGGGTAGATGGAAGTGGATGCAAGGAAAAAACAAACATCCCCA